CAACCAGTCCATCCTAAAGGAGATCAGTCCTGGGTGTTCATTGGGAGGACTAATGCTGAAGCTGAAATGCCAATACTTTGGCCACCTCATGTGAAGAGCTGACCCATTGGAAAAGACCCTGATGCTGGCAGGGATTGGGGGCAGCAGGAGAAGGCGACGACAGAGGATGAGATGGCTGGATGGCATCACCGACTCGATGCCCATGAGTTTGAGTAAACTCCAGGAGTTTGTGATGGACCGGGAGGCCTGGTGTGCTGCTGTTCATGGGGCTGCAAAGAGTCGGACATGACTGAGCGACTTGAACTGAACTGAATGGACTATGAAGAAAGCTGAGCACCGAAGAATTGATGCTTTTGAACTGTGGTGTTGGAGAACACTCTTGAGAGTCCCTTGGACTGCAAAGAGATTGAACTAGTCTATCCTAAAGGAAATCAGTCCTGAATGTACATTGGAAGGACTGATGCTGAAGTTGAAACTCCAATACTTTGGCCACCTGATGTGAAGAACTGACTCATTTGAAAAGACCCTGATGCTGGGAAAGATTGAGGGCAGGAGGAGAAGGGGATGACAGAGGATGAGATGGTTGGATGGCATCACCAACTTGATGGACCAAGTTTGAGCAAGCTTCAGGAGTTGGTGATGGACAGGGAAGCCTGGCGTGCTGCAATCCATCAGGTTGCAAAGAGTTGGACCCAAATAAGCAACTGAAATGAACTGAACTGCACCCTTTATTTGGGAAAGGAGAGGCAGGGTGTGTTTTTATTTTTTATTAGCTCTATTATTGGAACAGCAGAGTGAGATAATAAACACATCCATCTTGGAGCCTTCCTGCCTGAGTCTGATTATGACTCCATGCCTGTCTTAGTTTGCTAGGGCTGCCATTATCAAAATACCCCAAACTGAGTGACTTAAACACCAGAAATTTATTCTCACAATTCTGGAGGCTAGAAGTCCCAGATCAAGATGTGAGCAGGGTTGGTTGTCTGGTGGAACACAATTCAAGTGCTTCTTGAATCTGTCTCCCAGCCTTTAACCCTCAGTATGGCTTAAAAAAAACCTCTTTTCTATTCCTAGAATAGATTGGTTTATTGAGTATTTCCCTCTACAGTTCCAGCTGACTAGCAGAACGCACAGGAGAAACTCAATAAACATTTCTTGATGGAATGAAGGTAAGAATTTGGCAAGACAGGAAGAGAGGCCTAAAGTACGGAAGAGGAGAGGATTGGAGAGGGAAGAAAGAAGGGAAGAGAGGGCAAGTAAGGGTCTGAGAGGGAAGGTCAGAAGTAAGGCAAATTGCTGACCTGTCAGTTACTTCCAGAAGCTGTCTGTCCTTGAAATAGCCGAGGGTAGATCAGAAAGTGTAATACAGTAATTGAAGGTTTTGCATTTCAGACTTGGCTTTAAAGTCTTTTAAATTAGCTTTGTAATTTGTAAATTACTCAGCTTTGTAATCTTGGGCAAATTCTCTTATCCTCCCTTTCTTTTTCTGTAAAATGGATGTGAATATTGAATGAAATTATACCTGCACCGGCGCTTGGACGGTCGCCACTCAAGGTTAAAGTCGACTGTCGTTATTTACTAATATTGTAACTATTTGCTCTAGGCTGCCCGCCCTCCTGCTTCACTCGCCGCTCTCTCGCTGGTTGAGACAGCCCAGCGCTGCCACCAATCGGCTTGGTCCGAGGGGGAGCAGCCGAAAGGGCAGAACCAATGGGCGCAGGGGTCAAGAGAACCTAAACAGTGGCGGCGTCCCGTGTGGAAGCTGGGGGCAGTCCCGGGCCTCCGAGTAACAGACTCTCGCGGCCCCTGGCCGGGGTGAGAGACACAGGGCCCTTGGGGCAAGGCCGGGAGACAGGCGAGGCCTACGGCGTCACGTCTTTGAAGTGCGGTGTCCGGGCTTCGCTGCTCGCCCTTTGGTCTTGAGAAAATTCTTCCCTCAGACTACATCCTCTCCCTTTCCTCCGCTTCTTAGACCCGCTCTCTTTCAAATTCCACCTCTTCCCGGTCAACCCCCAATGCCTTCCTGCAGACTTCCTTTCTCTGTAACTTTTTTCCCGCCCCTCCCCACTCCCATCCCCAGCGCGTCCAGTTATTCAATGGCCACTTTAATAAGAGCTCTTTCCCGCCGTTGGTGATTTTCCCCGTACTTAGGGCCATCAGTCCCTTCCGTCTGTCTCCTATCCGCTGACTCTGGATTTGTTTGCATTTACACTGGCATGTGAAAAACATAAAACGCTGCACAGGTGTTAAGTTGGCATTGCTTTCCTTCCACATTGTAGAGTGTTACTTGCACTGTGTTCTAAACAGCATCCTCCACGGGTCCTGATTGTACTATTTATTCCCTTGAAGTTTCTCTCCAAACCAGTGTCCTTCTCTGGTCCTTTCCACCATCTTTAAGCTTATCTTTAACATTTAAATAGAGGTGGACTCTCCCCTCCTCTCAAACTCTCCTCTCCTTTCTCTAGGTTACACTCACCACGCACTCCTTACTTTAAAATATATTCCTTTTGTGTTCTCACCTTTTCATTCATGTCCTTTGATTATTGCTTTTACTTTCTGCATTTATCTCTAAGTTTTAAATCTAAAATATGGCTACACATGCTCCTTTTTTGTAAAGAAGCAAAATTTCCTACTGGGCTTACAACCATAAAGCAGGCTGTCCTATTCGAAGTTGCTTTTTAAAGTTTATTTTTAAAATCAAAACTAATTTTAAAGGTAAGGCCCAGAATGCACCCTGTTTTCTTTGAGAATCAAGCTCTTTTCTCTGTCATTTTCACATTTTCTTTTCCACGTAAACAAGACTTCAGAAATCCTTCCAAGATTTTCTTAGGTTTGAACAGAGGTTGTGCTTCACTGGAAAAGCTCTCTGAAGGCTTTTGAGACCTAGAGAATTTTCAGTCTGCATTTAAGTTTCTATAGTGCCTGCACTGGAACTGGTCTCACAGCAACCTCATGTGTTCTTTTATCTGAGAGATTGTTTTGGGCAGAAATGGGGTGAAAAGGGAATAGATGAGTTTCAAAGATGTTAATGATCTATTGTTTGCTTTATTTAAAAAAAAAATGAATGAAAAAGTATTTAAAATGTATTTTATTGATGATGATTGTATCTTTTCCTAGGTAGGTGCAAGTATTCCCCAAGAAGAATGTTCATTTTGTCAAGGACAGCACTATTTGCCACCCTTGTGGGAATTTCATAGTACTTATTAATACTGAAATCAAGAAAAAGACTACTCCAGTGTATGAATGGAATTGTGGGCATCCTGGCAACTAATGTTCCTTATGAAGTTGTCGCTTTTTCTGACCAGCAGCTCTGATCCCTCATCTACATATACAGCTTCCTCTGAAATGACCAGAAAGATCAATTTAAAAGGTATCTTGCAAGACTGTTCCTTTACCATGACCAAAGGATTATATTAAAGATGTGACCAAATCTAGTTCTTACAAATGTAGGGTTTTGGGGTTTTTTTGACTGGTTGGGTTTTTTTTTTTTTTTTGTAATAAGCATTTTTAAGGACCAATCAGGCTGATCACATAGGCTTTAATTAAGTAGGCTGGAGCCTTGCTACTCAAAGTGTGGTCTGCTCACAGTCAACATTGTATCACTGAAGATGGCCGAAACTCTGCTCCCATCACAGACCTATGAATCAGAATCTGCATTTTAACAGTATTTCCCCAGTTGATTCATATGCACTTTAAACTTGAGAAGCACTGGACTAGAACACTACTAGAGAACTAACTGCTGTTTAAAAACCTTTTTAAGAACAGGTTTTTTTTTTCCTTTCCTGATGATTTATTGAAAATCTGGCTGAAGAGATGTGTATAACTTCTAAAGATAAGTCTCTGAGCCTCAATTTCCTTTTCTATGATAAAGATAATGGTATCTACTGTCAAGACTGTGCTGAAAAAATTGAAATTATATATATAACATATAACCTTATATGTTATATATATAATTAACATATATGTTAACACATATAAATGACATGTATAATATGTCACTTATGTAATACATCAATCAGTGTTGTTCAGTCACTCAGTCGTGTTGAGGCAAGGAAGAAACTTTAATCGGAAAGCCAGCTGACTGAGAAGATGGCACGCTAGAGCCTCACAATAACCATCTTATTGGGGTCTGAGGATGTCAGGTTCTTTTATAGATCAGAGAGAAAGAAGCAATGAGGAACTAAAGTCAAAAGGCAGAATAGAGAGGGTGATGCAGTGGGGAAGCAAAGTTGAAAGGGTGTTCAGTCTTGCAAAACATCTCCAAGGGGATGGCCTGTCTTTGGAAGGGGTGTGTTAATCTCTCCTTTCACAGATGGGTAGGGACAAACTTTCTCTCCGTGAGCTGAACAAAGACACTTTAGTTTACAGGGTAACTAAAGTAGAGGAGCAGGGTCCTCCAGGCAAGCCATTAATAAAAGCAATGAAAAGCAAGTCAAAGAGACAGTTTCCAACATTGAGTCAGAATTGGCATCCTCCCTGCAGCAATACAAGGTATGTCTATAGGCATACCTTGTTTTATATACCTTGCTTTATATACCTTTGCGGATATTGCATTTTTAATTTTTTTGTGGCAACCCTGCACTGAGCAAATCTATTGGCACCATTTGCTCAATTCATGGCTCTGTCCCATTTGGTAATTCTTGTAATATTTCAAACTTTTTATTATTATATTTGTTATGGCGATGAGTGATATTTGATGTTACCATTGTATTCGTTTTGGGAGGCGATGAACTATACTCATATAAGATGGCAAACTTAGCCTCTCAATTTTTTGTATGTTCTGACTGTTCCATCAAACAGCCATTATCCTGTCTCTCTTTCTTCATGTCTTCCTATTCCTTGGGACCCAACAATATTGAAATTAGGTCCATTAATGACCTGACAGTGGCCTCTACGTGTTCAAGTGAAAGGAAGAGTCACCTACCTCTCACTTTAAATCAAAAGCTAGAAGTAATTAAGCTTAGTGAGGAAGGCATATCAAAAGCTGAGACAGACTGGAAGCTAGGCCTCTTGTACCAAATAGTTAGGCAAGAATGAATGCAAAGGAAAAATTCTTGAAAGAAATTCAAAGTGTTAACTCCAGTGAACACACAAATGATAAGAAAGTGAAAAGGTTTCATTGCTGACATAAGTAAGTAAAGGCGCTCAGTCGTGTCCGACTCTTTGCGACCACAGGAGTCTGCAAGTCTCCTCCATCCATGGGATTCTCCAGGCAAGAATACTCAAGTGGGTTGCCATTTCCTTCTCCAGGGGAACTTCCTGACCCAGAGATTGGACCCAGGTCTCCTGCTTCGCAGGCAGACTCTTTACTGTCTGAGCCACCACAGAAACCTACATTGCTAATATAGAGAAATTTTATATTTCTTCTGGATAGAAGATCAGACCAGCCTGAACATTCCCTTAGGCCAAAACCTGACCCAGAGCAAGTCCCTAACTGTCTTTAATTCTTTGAAGGCTGAGTGAGGTGACGAAGTTGCAGAAGAGAAGTTTGAAGCTACCAGTGGCTGGCTCAAGAGGTTCAAAGAAAGATGCTATCTCCATAACATAAAAGTACAAGGTGAAGCAAGAAGTGCCGATGTAGAAGCGGCAGCAAGTTATCCATAAGATCTAACTAGGTGGCTGCACGAAAAACAGATTTTCAGTGTAAACAAAACAGCCTTATATTGGAAGAAGACGTCATCTAGGACTTTCCTAGCTAGATAGGAAAAGTCAATGCCTGGCTTCAAAGCTTCAAAGGACAGACTGACTCTCTTGTTAGAGGCTAATGCAGTGCATGACTTGAAGTTGAAGCCGGTGCTTATTTAGCATTCTGAAAGTCTGGGGGTCTTTATAATTATAACAAATCTCCTCCATCTGTGCTCTATACATGGAATGACGTAGCCTGGATAACAACACATCTGTTGACAGCAGAGTTTACTGAGTATTTTAAGCTCACTATTGAAACCTACTGCTCAGAAAAGATTCCTTTCAAAATACTACTCATTGACAATGCACCTGGTCACCCAAGAGCTCTGATGGAAATGTACAATGGGATTGATGCTGTTTTCATGTCCTAACACAACATCCTTTCTGCAGCCCATGGATCAAAGAGGAATTTCAACTTTAAAGTCTTATAATTTAGGACTTCAGTGTTGTGAGGCAATAGCTGCCATAGGTAATGACTCCTCTACTATATCTGGGTAAAGTAGATTGGAAATCTCTGGAAAATGTTCACTGCTCTAGATGCCATTAAGAACATTCATGACTCATTGGAAGAGGTTAAAATATCAGTATTAACAGGGGTTTGTAAGAAGTTGATTCTATCCTTGATGGATGACTTTGAAGGGTTCCAGATTTAGTGGAGAAAGTTACGGTACATGTAGTGGAAATAGCAAGAGAACTAAAACTAGAAATTTAGCCTGAAGATGTGACTGAATTGCTGCAATCTCATGATAAAAATTGAATGGATGCAGAGTTGTTTTTTTTTATTGCTGAGCATAGGAAGTGCTTTCTTGAGAAGGAATCTACTCCTGGCAAAAATGCTATGACAATTGTTGAAATGGTAACAAAATGTTTAGAACATTATATAAACTTAGTTGATAAAGCAGTGACAGGGTTTAAAAGGATTGACTCCAGTTTTGAAAGAGGTTTTATTGTTGCTAAATGCTGTCAAACAGAGTTGCATGCTACAGAGAAATTATTCATGAATGGGTGAGTAAATCAAGCAAACTTCATTGTGGTCCTATTTTAATAAATTGCCACAGCCACCCAAATCTTTAGCAATCACCAACCCCAATCAACAGCCATGAACAAGAAGGCAAGACTCTCCACCAGCAAAAAGCTTATGACTCTCTAAACGCTCAGCTGATGGTTATTATTTTTAGAAATAAAGCATTTTTTAAATTAGGTTATATAAATGATTTCTTTAAACATAATATTATTGCACATTTAATAGACTATATTATAGTGTAGACATAACTTTTATATGTATTTGGAAACTTTTATATGTATTTGGAAACAATTTGTGTGATTCACTTTATAGCAATATTTACTTTATTCCTGTGGTCTGGAGCCAAACCTGTAATATCTCTGAGATATGCTTCTATATGGACTGTATCTACTCTTCATATTTAAAACACTCCCAGTTTGGTTACTTGGTATAGTCTTATCAAAGGAATTGATAGTTAATTCAATCTAATAGCCAACATTCATGTTGAATAATTAAACTCTAAAGGAATTCACAATAAAATTAGGATTAAGTCATCAATGATACCCAATGTTACTACTGTTACTTAATATCAACTTAGAAGTTCTAGTGAATGCAACAAAATATGAACATATAAAACTTATAGCTAGGGGAAAAAGAGATAATGGGTAATACAGTAATCTACTAGGACTGATAAAAGAATGCTCAGTAAGATGCTGGTTTCAAAATAAATATCCTTGCAATTAGAAGATTTAAATACTTAGGACTGACCTTAATGAAGAAAATTACAAAGGTCACTGACATAATATTTAAACATATAGAGACATACTCCTGCATGGAAAGTCTGGTTATCATACATGTAGTTCTGATATTCTTTACAGAAAGAAATTCATAGTTTTATCAAATGTTTTAGAGACCAGGAGTACTTAAATGAATGATTCCAAGGTTCATCTAGAAGAAAAGAAAGTAGAGAATGGGGATAATTTGAAAGAGAATATGACAAGGCAGAAGGCCCTCCTTAGCATTATGGTGCTGTCGTCATATAGGGTGTGGGCTTGGTTCAGGAGTCACTTGATCAGTGAAAGAGTTGAAGAGTGAGGACAGGTTCTGGAATACATGAAGTTAAGTATATGATGAAGACACTCCCAGAAAGATACTCATACACAGTAGATGATATGAATTATTAAACAATTGTGTTAAGAAAACTATTAGAGCAAAATATCAAGTCCTTATGTTATACTGTATATCAAAACATAAATCAAACAAAAGTAAGAGAGAATTTAAACAACAAACCTAGAAAAATAGATGAAACTGTGGTAGAAAATTGAAATAATTTAAGGATGAGGAAGGACTTTTTGCACAAAGGAAAAAAGTGAAAACAGAAAAGATTGACATATTTCATTATATACAAATTTTAAACCTATGAATATTAAAAGTGCCATGAAAAGTTAAAAGGCAAAAAATAAACTGAAGAAAGTATTTGGAATAAATATGGCAAAATATTTTCAGACCATTTATGAAATAAAAAAGATATCTTATTAGAACAATGGATAGGAGCTCACTCAAACCGCAAAACTGCTAATGACCAAAAACATAAAAATTGTTTCACTTGAATATTCACTTTATAAAGTGTCATTTAAACAAAGGTGAGATTTTTCTACTTATCAAAGTCACAATTCTTTTAAAGCTCATATTTGCTACCACAGAGTGCAGTGAAACTGGTAGCACTCTTTTTCTAATGGTGGGAATATGAATTCATACAAGCTTCCTGAGAAGTAAATATCTACTCTATATCCACTTCAAGAACTAGAATTCAGTTTAAAGGAAATAATCAGAAATATGGCCACACATTTGCGTGCAAATGAATTAAAAGCACTGTCATAATAGCAGAAGATTGGAAGCAACCTAAATTTCCAGTAATTTGTGTATGGTTAAATAAGTTAAACATCCCATAAAGAGGTACTATGCAAATGTTAAAATTCACATTTTTGAAAAATTATTAATGATAAAATGCTCAAGGTAAACAAGCAAAAAAAAACCTCAATAGAAGTCATGGAATATATGATCCAAGTTCCATTTCTAAAATGAATTATTATGTAGGCTATTTATTTAATCCATGATTACTATAGCTATAAAAAGCAAAGTTATATTTAACAAAAAAATGTGCTTTTATAAGTAAAAACACAAGAAAACACCAAAAACAAATTTATCAAATTTTGTAGTATAATTAAGGAGCATTTGTTTTTCTTCTCTGAATGGTTAGTGTGTGTGT